AACAAACAGAGCAACACTCAGTTTAACTTGGTATTTAGAACTTTTAATACCCAATTCAAATCTATAATACTTTCCAGCTTACATATGAATTTGTGCCAACTCAAAGTTCCTGAGACACAGATGATAAGCATAGATATACATTTGCCAGGTGTGTCCTAATTTTATCCATAACTTTCACATACAGACCTCAGTATGAGCAAAAACCTTTTGAGTGATTATAAGTTACTAACCATTTGAACTGGATCCACCCTGATTTCAGTTTTGTTTGTGATGGAGAAAAAAAATCTTTTTAGCAAATTTAATGTCAAATCCCGATTGTGTTCATATCAGTGAAATTTTGATAGTTTTATGATGATGATTACTGCGATTAATAAAGATCATTTTTCCAACTGATGAAAAAAATGATAGTGTTCTAGTATTCTGAATTTTATAAGGCAGATGAGCCATAGAATTTACGTAAGTTTTTAAAATATATGGATAATTGTCAATAATCATTATGTCTTTTTGTTTGGTTGGTTGGTTGGTTTTGTTTTTTCAAATTGAAATAGTCAATGGATTGTTAGGGAGGAAAGTCAGTGTGATTTAAGTTTTAACACCAGGGTAATGAAAGACATTTGGATTCCAGAATTTGGACATGTGGAAGTTATAGACTTATAAAAATTGCTACACTAATGTTTTAACATGACCTTGAAATTAGGTCTATATGCTAAAATGACAGACTTTCACTATGAATCCTGGCAAAATGTTTTGCACTGGGAACTGCATATCAGAACTGATATCCTGGTCCTGCCAGAAAATCATTTTGGGAAATCACAGAACCAGTTTTAATAATCTGTGTTTTTGTGAAGGTGGATTATTAAACTTGTTTACTTTAGACTAGTGGTTACAAAGTATAATTTCAGTGTGTTTGTGAAAGAAGGTCCCATAAAAATGTGAGATACATTATTCTTTTGCTATATAGGACCCTCTAATTTCTGTACTGTAACACATGCTTATGTTAGATACTATGCAAGCAACACAAAAGTGCTTCATGGGCTTCTGATATTCATACATTCCAGCAGCTGGACAAACTTAGCCTTCATATTCTTAAGACAGCTGTATATTTTACTAGTTCTGCAGTTCTTATATGAAATTATTCCTTAATGTTAAAATGCATTTACATTTAAAATCCCATCTTAAGCTATTATATATTTCTGTTTTTTCCTGGTATAAATGGGCAGAGCTTGGCTGAATTCAGTGGGGGTTTGTCAATATGCATATGTTTGGTAGCTGGTTGCTTATTTTCCAAACAACATGTCATTTAGGAAGAATTGGGAATGGCTTTTGCAAAGAGGTACTATGATATTTACTTTTTCTTTGGATGACAGCTAAAACATACACACAACATGAGAATGCTTATTTATTATGAGGAGACATTATTTACTGGGTTCTAAAGAATTCAGCTAAAATGAAATGGAACTGTTTTGTTCTGCTGCATTCAGTTTCTGAAAGACATATTTTAGGTGAACACTTTCATTGGCTTTTCATTGAATATGCAGTGATTTACCTTATCCATATCTTGCTGTATGACCATTTCCATTAACTCTTTCAGGAAAGTTATTAGCGAAGGAAGAGGGTGAAAACAATGCCTTATCAGCCATTACTGATTTAAGTAGGAAATTGTATACTTGTACTTGCAATTGGATCTTTATGTTTTATTCAATTAAAAATCCTATCTTTTTCATGTCTCATTTGTTTTTCTACATTGACTGGATTTTTAAATTTATTTATTTATTTATTTTCATTTGAGTGTGTGTATGTGCATGTTAAGATAAATTATTATCTATGGATCTTGATCAAGTTTATTTGTAAATTGAATCTCAGCTGTAGGTCAGTCATCCAAACCTTCCTTAGTATTTCTTGTGCATGTATCTCCTTCTGACTTCAGTGCAAATTACACATCAAAGGACAAAACGACAGAGGACTTAAAACTTCTCATTTAAGGTGAAGATTCACATTATAAGTAATGTTTATATGTGTACTAAAATTTCTGCTCTTCCATAGGTTTAGAGACTTTTCTTTTTCTTTTTCTTTTTCTTTTTCTTTTTCTTTTTCTTTTTCTTTTTCTTTTTCTTTTTCTTTTTCTTTTTCTTTTTCTTTTTCTTTTTCTTTTTCTTTTTCTTTTTCTTTTTCTCTTTCTCTTTCTCTTTCTCTTTCTTTTTCTTTTTTTCTTTTTCTTTTTTTCTTTTTCCTCTTCCTTTCTTTTTTTTTATTTATGTTTTTCTATTTTTAATCAATTTTCAATAAACGTACCTGTTTCCAATATCTCTACTTTATCATGGAGATCACTGTATAATTATTAGTATAGTGTGCTATGTTACCTGCTCTTCCAGAACAATTTTAACAACTTAATTTATTCACTTAAAAGTGAACAAAATAAAGGAAAGCTCCTGCTCTGATTTGGTAAGAGAAGAGAACAGATTTCAGACTGTCGCTTATGACAGCGGATTAAGCTCTTCTGAATGAGTTTTACTACACGTGCAAATTACAGTTGTCAACATTGCCCAGTAAAATGTTTTCATAGGTTATGCAAAAGAGATTAACAACCATCCTGCACCCCATCTCCACAGGGAAAAAAAATAATAATATTTTTTGGAGGGAAGAACTGGGTAGATAGAATTATACCTAGATAGAATTAGTCTAGTTGTGTTAATATTATCAATCTAACTAAATGCAAATTTGCAGCTGTTTCTTATAATTTTATTGATCAACTTTCATTTTCAGTAGTTTTATAGAAATGAACCTTATCAAGCATTATTTCTAAGCAGCATATAGAGGTCTTCAACTACTTTTATGTGTACTTATATTTTTGTAAGTCTTTTAACACAGTATTCTTTTACCTCTTGTAAGGTCCTCAGAGAGAAGCTGATGAAGTGTGGGCTAGATGAGTGGATGGTAAGGTGAACTGAAAAATGAACAGCTGAGCTTAGAGGAATAATCAGTAATACAAAGTCTAGTTGAAGGCCAGTAGTTAGTGGTGTACCCCAGCGGTTGATTCTGTACCAATATTGTTCAATATCTTCATTAATAACTTGGAAAATATATCAGTGTGCGCTCAGCAAGTAAAGAGATGGTAGAAAGCTGGGAGAAGTATGTGATACATTAGAGGTTTGTGTTGCCATGCAGACTGACTGCAACAAGGTGGAAAAATGGGATGACAGGAACCTCAACCTCATGAAGTTCAAGAAGGAGTCATGCAAAATCCTGCATCTGTGGAGGCACATCCTTAGGCACTAGTACATGCTGGAGGCCACCTAGCTGGAAAGCAGTTTTCCAAGAAGGACCTTGGAGTCTTGGTGGGCAACAAGCAATGAATCAGCAATGTTTCCTTGAGGAATAAAAGGCCCAAGACATCCTTGGCTGTTAAGAAGGGTGTTGCCAGCGAGTCAAGGGAGGTGATCCTTCTTCCCTACTCAGTATAAGGGAGGCAGTATCTAGAGTGCTGTGTCCACTTCTGGGCTTCCCAGTACAAGAAAGTTCTTACTGAACCAATTCCAGAGAAGGACTACTAAGATGTTTAAGGCACTGGAGCCTCTTTTTTATAAAGAGAGACTGAGAGATCTGGGACTGTTCAGTCTGAAGAAGAGAAGGTTCAGAAGCATCTTATCAACATCTAGATAATCTCAAGAGGTCCCTTCCAACCTCAACAATTATGTAATTCTGTGATCTGAAGTCCTACAGAGGTTACTATGTTCTTTATATGACCGTTCAATCCACTGCTTTCCTTAGCAGTAGGACATCTTTTATTGCTTCTGAGGCAAATTTAGCTCTTCATGGCTTGCAAGTGTTTCTGTAGGTGTCAGTTCAAGAAAACACTTGCCAAAATACCTGAGAACAAACAAGCAGCTTGAAAATACAAATCTTTTACCACAAGTAGAAGGTAACACAAAACTTTTGTAGGGAAATAATACAAATTTAAAAGTATATGATTTAAAAATTTAAAAGTTAAAATAAGGTAGTTAAAAAGTTAAAACTGTCTTCTGGGTTGAAGGGCAGGGCAGGGCAGGGCAGGGCAGGGCAGGGCAGGGCAGGGCAGGGCAGGGCAGGGCAGGGCAGGGCAGGGCAGGGCAGGGCAGGGCAGGGAAGGGAAGGGAAGGGAAGGGAAGGGAAGGGAAGGGAAGGGAAGGGAAGGGAAGGGAAGGGAAGGGAAGGGAAGGGAAGGGAAGGGAAGGGAAGGGAAGGGAAGGGAAGGGAGAAGAATAAATAAATTGTGTTAGTCAGAAACACCTATCTTTTTCTAGTTCTATCCATATTTTCTGCTGTGCACTTGAGATTCAAATTTGACACACTCGCTGTTCAGAAAACTCTAGCCTTACCACTGAAGAAATAATTCATCTATCTTACGCAAAGGGATTCCTGGCAGTTATGTGGAATTCCATAAAACTGTCATTTCAACTGTCTAATGCTTGTTTGACCAGTGACAATGTTCAAAGAGGATTTAAATGTTGCCTAGTTTGGTGTGCATATTTCAACCTGAGTAGTACTTTACTGTTATTTTAATGGCAATTGAATATTCAGTTTATATCTATGCCAAATTTGTGTCTAAAAGAAATGAAAAATCTGTGGTAATGCAATAAACATACTAGCACACTATTATTGCTTGTTGTTTTTTGGATATAGAGTCCAACAGCCTCCCTGCCAATTTTTAGCACTGACCTGAGGCTAAAGTTCAAAGAACTGTATAAAGAATGATGAACTGTAAAAAATGTCTGGCTTAAGTAGACATCCAGCCTGTAGGATATGTGTCACTGTGGGACTTGGAGTGTTTCTCAACAAGGTCTGGCTGCCTCTAGACTCTAGAATTACATGATAAACAGGTACACATCATCCTTGCTCCATTTCTTTCCTTGTCAGTAAATATAGAATTCATAGTAGTCATAATTGCCAGGTCCACATCTTACCCCAAAGGAAAAAAAAAGCATTCTGCTTCCATTCCCAAAGGGAAATAAAATCTTTCTGGAGAGGCTTAGTGGGGTCATATACAAAATAAAAATATTTACACAACACCATTGACAAAGCAGTTATATGATTGTCTCTTGCAAACAGTGATAGACAGCCCTGGACACACACCCTGATTTCCTGTAGAAAGAAACCTGGATTTGCACCTTTACAACGAGCGGGATATCATCCTCCCAGCTTCATAAGGGATGAGGATGCCACCATAGACTGCCCAAGTTACATTACATCCTTCCTTTTATCTTCAAGGTATGTTTACTATTCTGAGCACAAAACAAGTTATTTAAGATACAGTCAGTCATTACAGCTTGATTTCCAACTGCTTAAAAAGGTGGACCTTGCTTGCACTTTACTTTGGAAAAAATAAGAATTCTGAATTAGTTTCAGAACTACACGACACATTTATTTTGTATTTTGTCTGACAAAAATGAAGGAACACAAACCAAAACCACATTTTTTTTTTTTTCAAGGACTTCTTGAAAGAAAATCCCAAAGAGTCATTGTTAGAAAACATTTTCTTCTTATATAGCTCACACTCAGTGAGCCTTCAACATTTCTAATGTTGAACAGTTAGTCTGAAATAAGTTATTTCAAAATACTGTCATAAAATACATTTGTAGTGTTTGCTTGTGAGGAGAACTGTTGGATCAAAGTCCAAGAAACACTAGAATATCTTCAAAGTGAGATATAGATACAAGGCATTCTTAATACTTCTCTATGTGACAATTCTATGTATTTCACAGTAATATCTGGGAACTAAGAGGAATAAAGGAAAGCCACAGCCCCAGAGAAATAATACTTATGGCTTATAAAGGCTTTCTAACCAAACATCAAGCAACACTAGAGATGGATCAAAGCATGTGAATAAAATCTATTGACTTCGTGGCTGCATTTTAGCACCCTGGCACCTTATTCAGATAACATTCAATATAGTATCAAGATAAAAGTTTATTTATTTCAGAGATACTTTATTTTGTTTTTCTAATATTGTTATGAAATTATCACTATTTAATATTACATTGCAAATAATAAGCATCATGAGCATATTGTACATATGTACCATATATACATCTGAAAATCTGCAAATGTTTTCTGTTGATTTGAAATCCCTATTCACTCTTTTTGTTTGTTTGTTTGTTTCCCTGAAGACAAAAATGGCTTGTATACATTCATAGAGGCCTCTGACCCAGTGATTCTGCATCCCACTTACTTTTAATTTTAGTTATTATTATTAATACCTACGGAACAACATGGTGGATGCTCAAAAGCAGGCTTTGAGATTCTTGGGAAGATAACACAAATAGGAAGTAATCAACATAATTCCTTTTAGAGGTTAATGTATGTCTTTTACAGCATTGCTTAGTCTCTGAGTCCTGCATGGAGAAAGAAAACAGCAGTTGGCATAGCCTTGCCTTTGCTCCTTCCCCTACAGCTGCAATATTTCTCCTGTTTCTGTCAGTCATCTCTGTTTCCTGCAGGTGTGGGTATCCCTTGGAATACGTAAACAGGGATTACTAAAATGTTGTAGTTGAGGGCAGGCTCTCCAGATTACATCTGAAAAGGCATTCCATACAAAAGTGTTGTAACTGGGTTCTCAGTAGAAATGTAATTAACAACAGGGATTTGAGTATTTAAATTTATTTTCATGCACCAGAAGGGGAAATGGCACCAGGGATAAAAGAAGGCAATTCACAAAAGCTTTAGGACATTTGAAAGAAATGGTAGAGAAAGGATCTAATGTGATTTCTTTTTTCTCTGCACTTTACAGGCTTTTCTGAAATACTCTGTTTCCCGGTTCCAACGAACAAACCTATTTCTTTTCTTAGGAACCTGTAGCAGCAGCTTCTTGAGATGATCAAGCCAGCCTTGCAGCCCATTGACAATGAAAGAAGGGGCCCTGCTCTCTCCACTGACTGTCTTCCCCTTCAGCCACGTGCTTTCCTACTTTGTGTTACACCTTTCTGGTGCTTAGCAAACCCCTTAACAAACCTTCACAACTCTGTTACTCAGGGGAAATTAAAACAGATCATAAGTATCTGATGAATTAATCGGATGAATTGGGTTGTGGGGTGTCCAACAGGCATTGGGGAGGAGCAGAGTGATGTAAATGGGAACATAAAAAGAGAACTGAGACTGTCCCTTCATAACAACCATGAGACCAGCTGCTCTTGAAATTTCAGTGTGTTGCCTGCTCAGATCAGATAACAGACAGCAAGAAGTAAGGGGGGGGGGGGGGGGAGCTCTTCCAGATTTACAGATAATTTCTACTGATTATACAGCAAAAGTATCTGAAATCTAAAGTCAAGTGATTAAAAAACAATAATAACTAGATTTCATTACTAATGTATTTTTATTCATTATTAATTATTATCTAACTCACTTCTACAATAGAATGAATGTAGCATTAATATGATTTATTAAGTTGTGGTTATCCCAGACTCATGATCTTTGGGTCCTAAAAAACAAGTTAGACACTTATAAGTGTCTAACTTATAGACACTTATAGACACTTATAAGACTTCTGAGCTTCTTTGTTGTTGTGGGTTTTTTGTTTGTTTGTTTTTCCTTACTACTTTACTCATTAGCCCCACCTTGCATACAGTTTCGCACAACAGTGCCAACAACAAATTCTATACATTGTAAAATATGTTTAATACGGCTCCAATGTAAGTAACCAAATCCTAATGGGATGGGGTACATTTCTGTCTTTATTCGCAGGTCACGTACAGGTCTCCAGTGACAGGGGAACAGTGGGCTAATGATGCTATATCATCATTTCAGAGCAGTATATCTTACATCCAATATTGAATCAAGGTGCTCTCTCTTCTACACAAAGTCAAAAATGCTCCCGCCCTTCATGATTTGTAGGACTTTAACATATTTTGACCAGTGTTCATTGTGTTTCTGACTTTTCCTCAGTGAGAAAAAATGTTTTATTTTGCTGTAAAATTATTGCAACAAATTATTAAATTATTAAATGTATTTCTTAGACACTGGAAGTAAACTTTTTTTTTTTTTCCCCTACATTTTATCATATGTTTAGAGGTGATTTGACTTTGTGTTTTGCTTATATTGCCAGTCAAATGGAAAGGGTTTGAAAACATATCAAATTTGGTACAGCAGTTCTGGCAAATGAAATCTGTTTTTTGTGCAACTACTAACCAATTACTCTAACTTTGGATTCCTAGTTACCAAGGGTGGGCATATAGTATGATCAAAATTAATGTGAAGATAATGTGAAGCTTTCAAATCTCACGTATTAGTGCTTTACCATGTTTTTTTTTCCTTCCTTATTACTGATCTGTCTTATTTTATTAGCATAAATTAAATAAAATTTTGAATGAATATATTTGAAGTAGTTCTCCAGAGCAAACAAAACAAAATCTGCCAATTCATTTTGTAAATAGGCCTTGGTTACATTTTGCACTTACTCCATATTCATACTCCTTTAAGAGGCTTTGCAGATGGCAAACTACATACAGATTGTTGAGAAAACTCTAGAATTATCATCTGAAAATGTTCCCATAGTCACACATTCTCACTGATACCTCTGCATATTCATAAGCTTTTGGGAATTTGCACAGAGCACTTAATGCATCTCATCCACCTCGCCTCCCTCTTGCCCCAACCTGCACAGAAACAGGATTGTCATTCATTTCCATTACTATAAGTGCTCTTGTGACTGAATAAAATGTTTTATCTTCACCAATCATATGTTGCCACATGAAGTACAGTACACAAATATTTGTGTGGAGAACACATAAGCCTCCATGAGCATTCTCTTCTTCTCTAAAGATGAAAATTCCATAATTTGAGTAACCTACATAGTGGGCACAGCTTGAATATTTAAGTAGGGTAAATGCCTGTGTTGGAGACACACACACACACACACACACAAGTAATTGTGATCAGAAATATTTTATAAAAAATGAACTGTTCAAAAAGAAAGCAGTAGTCTGGGAAGTAGTAGAAAAATCCGGATACTCAGGATTCTATTGTCCCAATAAAGACTGTGTAACTGGCATTTCCATAGACTCTCCATAGGCTCTCACTGCCAGCCAGACACCCATTTGATATAATGTCACTGTTATTTCTGGACACTACCTTATTGAAATGTGTTCAAACAATGATATGCATGCAAAAGAGGGTTGGGGAACTTCAAAATATAATTTCAATCATTTTTAACCTTAATATATTAGCAGGAAGGGAAAATATATCTGCATGGCAAAGGTTTTGTCACAGGATTACAAAGAAATTTGGAACTCTAAGCTTGTGAATTACTCTTGTTTTGAGATTTTTCTTTTAAACACCAGACATAATTTTAGAGCACTGAAAAGGGGAAGATTCTTTTTACTACAAACTTAGCAAATTGCAGATTCTTCAACTATCATTTTTTTTCCTGTAAACATACAATTAATCTTGATGCTTTTGTTGATGTTTGTCTCCACTTTAATCTCATATTTCTCAGGTTGCTTCCATTATTATGGGATTCAGATCACAGACCTCCCTTGTAAATGACACCTGGAAATGTCAAGCTCTTTGATGTATGTGAGATTTTATGTACGTGTCCATTTGCAAGTAGATTACTTAATTTTGGGAGTTACCTTTCCATGTAAACAAGTGCTAGGTGAGGGCTCCAAAGAGGTTTCACACACTACCATTTTATTAATTTACCTTGTTCTGCACCTACTTTGTGAACTACAAAATATGTTTATTAACTCCTTGATCAGGTGTCTATTACAGAAAACATCAGCACAGCTGAGTGTGGATCTCCAACAATGTCAAACACATTGGCTTGTTCAGCATCTTTAGCCTTTTAATTGATAAATACTTGTGCATCTGATATGCAAGGTTTAAAATTGCCAGTCATTCTCACTTATTAAAGACCACCAAAAGCCAGCTGCCTAAGGAGTTTTCAACAATATATTTTTTCAATATGGTATTGATTTTGCAATAATTATACTGTTGATGGAACCAGCATAGGAATATTGGAAAATGTATGTCTAACAAATCGTGCTATATATTTGCCAATAGGTAACACATCACCAGTCAGCTTTTAGAAAAGCTGCAGTGGTATACAATTTCCTGTGCATAAAAGTTCATCCTGTTTTGAACCAACGAGCAACAGTGCACTATGAATTAATCTGCACTCCTATAATTTCATCTGGTTACCGCAGAGTACTAAAAAAATATCAGGGGCTAAACATTAACTCTTATTAGATATTTTCCAGATACTCAGGATAAAGATAATGGAAGATCACAAAGGTGGGAATAGCTGATCTATTCACACCATCTAACATTATTCATCAAAGGGCCTGAGTTATTCTAGAAAATAACTATCTAATGATGTCTCCAGGAAACAATGCAAAATACCAAATCTTTCTCTTTCTCTCTCTCTCTGTCTCTCTCTCTCTTTTTTTTTTTTTTTTTTCCTCTAGCATCAGGTGCTCCAGAGCCCTTCAGGGGGCTCTCACTGCAAAAGGCACCCGAGCTCCTCTCTCAGGCATCTGTCAAATGGGACTAATGTGGCAACATCATCATCAGTGATAGAGTAATTTACTTCTTTTTACTGCTTAGGTATGCTTTGTGTTGCTATGTGAATTGCTGGAGAGGGAAAGTAGATCAATGGCCCTGTTCACCTGGAATAATTTTTATCTTCTGGTGCACTATCCTGCTGCATTCTGCACTTTTGTCCAGGTGCCTCTGTAGGGCCCTGTTTTGTCATTTGTTGTTTTAATTCAACTGCATGCAGACATTTCTTCTCAAAATAATATTTTTTCTTTCCTCTTCCATTTTTTTTTTTAATCTTGTCAATTTCTCTTTGTCCATTCTGTTCATGTCTTACAGTTCTAATACTGCTAATCGGCTTCTGTGTTTTGATGTAGTGTTCCTCCTTAAAACAGCTGTACTTAACAAATCCAAACTTAATTCATCATTTCAGTTGACCATGACCATAAAAAAAAAACATTTTTTTCCCCAGTGCACATATAGTGCTATCTATCTGATGCACTACATTTTTTATCAAACTCACCCCTAAAACAACCTTAGTATCAACATCCAGAACATTGTTGCTACAAAGAGATAAGAATTCAAATAAAAGTGAAGTCATCAACTGTAGCTTCAGAAAACAGTCAGCTGTTAGTTACAAAGCTTGCAAGGATGATGGCAGAAAGGCTTACAGAGAAAGCTCAGTTTCAGCTAGATTTCTTTAAACTCATTTTGATTACTCATTGAATTCATTTTAAATGCATTTTGATATAGTCAAAGAAAGAGTACTAATAATGTCCTACCTTGGAAGTGAAGTTTGGAAACAGAAGTGGAAGCCAAAGGGGAAGCCAACTGGGACATGGTTAATGGACCCTAGCCAAAGTTAAACTGAGTTGGTCCTTGCTGATATAGCATCATCAGACTAAAGGATGGTTTCATATCTAGCAAACAAAACAAAACAAAACAAACAACACCAACAACAAAAACATAAATCACAAGCTGGAGGAAATTAAGCCAAATATATGTATATATATGTGTATGTGTGTATACATATATATATAAAATCCCACGCTGGAAAGGGATATTTTTTTGCTACTGTCTCCAAAAATAATATGAAGTTCTGAATGACAATTATTCCTGGAGGTTCTCTCCTCTGTTTCCTTCCTCATAGCAGGAATCAGGTGAAACAAGTTGTTGTTGTCCTGTTATTCTGTTGTCCAGGTGGGACACACAATTATCAGAGATCCACAAAACATACGCTGCTCAGATACATCCTTCATTCAGCACAGGTGAAGTAGGAAATTTCTAACCCCAGCTGTAGCACTTGACATCTTTGCTGATACTGGCCAGTCCTAGTGTTCTGGTGTCACAATTGAACTGGAGTGATTGTGTCCTACAGCCACAAATGCAGGAAATACTTCTAGCAACCTTTTAGGAAGTGATAAATTAAAATGCATAATCACAGCCACGGGTCTTAGGGAAAGAAGAGATTTAAAGGCAATTATCCCAGAAAACATTATGCATGAATGGAATAGAAACGAAGCATGTATTAAAAAAAAAAAAAAAAGAACAGCAGATAGCACTATTATGTTTAAATGTATGTCTTTGAATTAATGTTACCCTAGAAATATGTGTTAATGGACAGGTTTGGCTGTGGAAGGAGAAGAGCTAAAACAAAACATGTTATTAAAAGCTAAGTTTGAGACACCGATGCCCTTTCGAGGCACTATTTGCTGTTTCTTTAACAGAAGATAACACTATCCAGCCCTACCTATACAGAAAGCTTCAGACACTATACTCAACTGAAAAGAACACGTTGCTACCTACCTGTAAATTTCTATTAGTCTACAACCTTAGGTAATCTTAATAACATTTATGTTCCTACCAATATAGAAACATCAAAGGTCTAAAATGCTTTCAACTACAAGGAGTATGTGAATTATACATTTTTAATGAGCTAAATTATAGGTATGAAGCAGCTTCCCGTCCCTACTGAAATCCATTATTGTGCTTTCTATTCACAGTATGTGTTTATCGCAGACAATCAGAGTGGACAAAAGCAGAATTTGACAGTATAAACCCTGTAGATTCTGCCTTTTCTGTTCTTTATAATGAAAATAATTTCCTTATTTTGACAACCTATGGGTTTTTAACATAATTTTCAGTGCATGGAATATACATTTGTTTTTCTGTGGGAAAGGTAGTGAGATGGAAAATGTTTTATCACAGAACGAGTTCAGATAAACATTTTGATGATGTTTCAGCTTACTAAGAATATTCATAATGTGAATAATTTTGTTTTGTTGTTGTTTGTTTGTTTGTTTGTTTTCAGAAATATGTCTGTATCTTTTGGAGCAGAATCTTCGTGAAAAATCAAATAAAATAACTCTTTATTTCCTTTCTTTCTTTCCGTCCATAGTGTATTATCTGACTGTAGGAATAATTAAATACCGAGGATTTTTTTTTTTTTTTTAATGCTTAGTGTCTGTGATCTACTACCACCACAAACAATGCCTTAAGTGTGTGTCTGTGATCTACTACCACCACAAAGCCTTAAGTGTCTGCTTGATTGCATACATAAATGTTCTCCTCTGATGAGTTCAAATGTTATAAGCTATGGTAACAACATTAGGTAGAAGGTTGTCTTCATGTTTCATGACAAAAAAAATAGAGATTAGAACTTCCCTTGAGAATGTGATTCACAGCAAGATGCCAAAGACCTGTTAGAGAGTAGTTGGACCAATAAATTGGTGGTATGCTTACAAGATTTTTGCATGTTTTTTAAAATCAGTCTTCTGATATACCTACTTCGTTTGGTCCCCTGATCATTTCCTTTCAGATGAAATCTAACTAAAACACA